ATATTTAAGCAGCTACAATTTAAATAGACCTACCACGGATGCAGTACAGGATTTAAGAATTACGAAAACAGTAATAAATAAATAAATAAATATATATTATATTGAACCATGAAAGACTAGATTCCAATATTCAGTAAACATAATCGTTATATTGCCGCTTCATCTTAAGATTTGAGAAAATCACTAACCACCACATTGTATTCGACATCTCAACGTAAACCAACGATACTTCATGCTCTTACTCAACAGATAACATCTACTGTGTAGCTCATCGGCTGTTAAATAATCGTCGAATTAGAATCCACAAGGACACCAAATATATTGATTAGACAGTGCTATGTCAACTTCCTACGTTCTGAACAACCAAGTATCTTAGTCCATAGTAGTGATCACTAACGATGTAGTCATTCTAATAACCCCACGCACGTTCTAGTAGTAGAGTCAAATAAGTGTTATATCCAGTACGAGCTTCTAGATTGCCTGCTGCAACCAAATGTCATGTACTCCTGTGGCTGATGCATGTTCTTCCCCTTAGAGGTTTGTCCACAGTGCTGCCAACAAACCTGGGACATTTTCATACGGGTTAGCTGTGCCGAAGTCCCCATGTCGAAGATACCTCAATTAGATGCAGCATATATGGACAAAGTAGCAGGCTATGAGGTGTAGATTGGGGCCGGGACAGATAATCTAGAGAATCCCGACAAGGCGGTTACTCAAGTGTGTCGGCCGAGTTAGGGCTTTGGTTCCCCACGGGCTCTGCTTCGGAACAACGGTGATCGACGCGGTCCCGACGGATGTCTAACCTAAGATTTTGCCAGCATAAGATTGTCTGGGAATAGTAGTGGTATCCCAAAAAAAAATATCATATGTGATACACCGTATAAAAGACCCGAATCAGGCCATGTTGCACTCTGCGTTGGAGCGGGATTTGGACCTGAGGGGCATTGTGAAACATTAGTCAGAGCACAGGGTTTCCACTGTGTTAGGTAAGTTGCCCTTGCGAATGAATGTATGGGCTGTAGCTGACAGAGTGACTAGGCCTGAGCGTGTTGTGGAACTTCCCCTCTTGCATGAGCAGATCCCGAAAGAAAATTGTCATGAGGCTCCTCTATGGTAAGATCTTCGGAAGGGCTGGGAAGTAGCAGTAGGATACCTCAGAGATGCTAGATAGTGGACAAAGCAAAACCCGACAGCCGGGCGTACCGAATTGCATGATACAAAGCGAAGGACGTGATATGAAGTCTGTGAGTTGGATATCAGTAAGCAGTTGCAGATATAAAAGGGAAGAGTTCTAACTGTCTTCAAGTTCTTCATCTATTATTCTCCACAGCAGCAACGGTAAAGCTCACTGTATCTTACATCCCTTCTTTTGCATCGTGAAATCAATACTTCTTATCACACAATGGCACCAGTCTGAAGAAGTACAAGGCCGCAGCAGTCAATGCTGAGCCAGGATGGTTCGACCTCGAGGAGTCCGTCAAACGGACTATTCACTGGATCAACGAAGCTGGAAAGGCTGGTTGCAAGTTCATTGCTTTCCCCGAGCTCTGTATGTATTATGCCATTGTCGTAATACTCGTAACTTTATCATGATCTGACCACTATCACAGGGATCCCGGGCTACCCATACTGGGCTTGGAAGGTGAACTACCAGGAGAGTCTGCCACTGCTCAAGAAGTATCGCGAGAACAGTCTGCCCTCGGACTCTGAGGAGATGCGTCGGATCCGTGAGGCAGCCCGAGCCAACAAGATCTTTGTCTCTCTGGGCTATTCGGAACTGGATCTGGCCAGTCTCTACACCACCCAAGTCCTCATCTCTCCTACCGGTGACATTCTCAATCACCGCCGCAAGATCCGCGCTACCCACGTCGAGCGTCTGGTTTTTGGAGATGGCACGGGTGATACCACTGAGTCTGTTATCCAGACCGAGATCGGTCGTGTGGGTCACTTGAACTGCTGGGAAAATATGAACCCATTTATGAAGGCGTATGCCGCCTCTCTTGGTGAGCAGGTTCACGTTGCTGCTTGGCCACTGTATCCTGGAAAGGAGACGCTGAAGTATCCCGATCCCTTCACCAACGTGGCTGAAGCCAATGCCGACGTAAGTCATACTCTACCTGATCGATTCATGATATCCCTGTCTATCTCGCTCGCTCTGAGGTCTAATGGAAGTCTGCGCAGCTCGTTACGCCAGCCTATGCTATTGAGACGGGCACCTTCACACTGGCACCCTGGCAAAGCATCACTGCCGAGGGTATCAAGCTGAACACGCCGCCTGGAAAGGAGCTGGAGGATCCCCACATCTACAATGGTCATGGCCGTATTTTTGGCCCTGATGGACAGAATCTTGTTCCTCATCCCGACAAGGACTTCCAGGGTCTGCTGATTGTTGATGTGAGTGCTTCAATTTGACCACTTCAGTCGCAGGGTAGAAGATGCTAACTAGAACACTAGATCGACCTGGATGAGTGCCATCTCTCCAAGTCCCTGGCGGATTTCGTAAGACCCCCGCTGATCCCCAATGCTTCTGCTATGCTGACACTGTTTCAGGGAGGACATTACATGCGCCCTGACCTCATTCGCCTTCTCGTCGATACCAACCGCAAGGACCTTGTTGTTCATGAGGATCGCGTAAATGGAGGAGTTGCTTACACGCGAACCGTTGATCGGGTGGGACTGTCAACGCCTTTGGAAGCTGCAACCCCCAATGGCGAGCAGGAAGAGTAGGGTTTTGTTTCTGGCAGGGCCAATAAGCTGCAACCAATGTTATCTCTCCGCTCATCCAACTGTACCATTATGAAATGCATTGATACTTCTTGATTGATGATGTTCTCATCATTCGGCATTCCCGAGTCAATTAGGGTCTAGACACTAAATCGGATAAGTTTCGATTCTTATTATCCTGTAACTTCCGGCTAAATCGCTCCCGGCCACTTTAATCCACCAATGACCGAAACGGATTTGCTTCGATATTCAACTATCCTCATACGGATGATCACCTCCATGGAGACAATATCGGAAAGAACCCCGATCTTACCCGCCGTCGGTTTCAGTAGGCTGAATATATACCGCCTGGTTGGAACTAGATCAGACCAGCCGATGATATGCTTGTATGGCATATAGGACCAAGCGCCATTCAGCAGCGTAACACTAACACATAATGTCAGTACATGCCAACGGAAAGACCCCCGTTCAGGCCTTCAGCCGATCACCTTTTCGAACCCGCCGCGACTTTCAAGACGCATGCCGGGCACTCCTGGATCCTCTCGTTCCGCGCTTCACACCGGGATGCAGTCGAGTGAAGATTGGTTCGTCGACGACTCGTTTCGACGAAGGTGGTGCCCAGATTGAGGGCTTCGCACGTCCACTGTGGGGTTTAGCTGCTCTACTGGGAGGCGGATATCAGTACCCAGATGCAGTGCGTTGGTACCAGGGACTCATCAACGGGACGGATCCCCAGAGTCCAGAGTACTGGGGAGATATAGAGGATCTCGACCAGCGCATGGTGGAAATGTGTCCCCTTGGGTTTGCGTTGGCAGTCGCTCCGCATGTATTCTGGGATCCGTTGACGATCCAGCAGAAGCACAATGTTGCGAATTGGTTGGCTAGTATTAATGAGCGTGAGATGCCCAATACGAACTGGTATGACCCCACACAACGCATGGTTATATAGTGGTCTCAGGAGACTCACCACAGAACGCCTTCAGGTTGTGGTTCCGGGTCTTTGCCAACTTGGGTTTGAGGAGAAACGGTGCACCTTATTCGCTTCCCCGTATCGAAGCGGATATGGATCATTTGGACACCTTCCATGTTGGTGGAGGCTGGAGCAATGACGGTCCAAAGAGTCACCATCAGATGGATTACTACTCCGGCTCGTTTGCAATCCAGTTCTTGCAACTACTTTATTCGAGACTGGCAGCCGATTTCGACCCGCTACGGGCTGAACGGTATCGAGAAAGGGCGAGACAATTTGCCCTTGATTTCGTGTACTATTTTGATGCAGATGGTTGGTTTGCTCACTGAACTCAACCAGCCCGCAATTAGTACTGACTGTGCGCCCTTTTCTAACAGGAGCTGCCATCCCCTTCGGAAGGTCCATGACATATCGATTCGCTATGGCTGGATTTTGGGGAGCCCTTGCTTTTGCAGACGTCGCGCCCCCGGCACCACTCACCTGGGGTGTTGTCAAGGGCCTTCTGTTGAGACATTTCCGCTGGTGGGCAACCCAAGAGGACATGTTCAACAGTGACGGAACGCTGAATCTCGGATACTCATACGCAAACATGTACCTGACAGAGAACTATAACTCTCCCGGCTCACCCTATTGGTGTTGTCTTTCATTTGTCCCTCTGGTACTGGGAGAAACACATTCATTCTGGGCAGCCAAGGAGGAGCCATACCCAATCGCCTCCCTCTCGCCTGTTGCAGCGCTGCAGTATCCCAAGCACATCGTAGTCCACCGTGGCGGCCATTCATTCCTGCTCTCCTCTGGACAAGCCTGCCACTACCCCTTAAAGGCAACCCAGGCAAAGTACGGCAAATTCGCCTACAGCGCATCATTCGGATACTCCGTCCCGACAGGCTCCTACCAACTGGAACAGCACGCCCCAGACAGTATGCTAGCCCTCTCCGATGACGGGGGAGACATCTGGCAAACACGGCGACTGGCAATAACGCCCGCATCGAATACCACGATGATATCCCCGTGCTAGCCTCCACCTGGAAGCCCTGGTCAGACGTGGAAGTAGAAACATACCTGATACCGCCGCTTGAAGAAAGCGAGAACTGGCATATCCGCGCGCACCGCGTCCGCACAGGGCGAGACCTCATGACATCTGAAGGCGCTTTCGCCATCTACGGGTGTCGGAGCGATAATGGCCGGATTCTGGGCTCCTTAGCGGACCGGCCCTCCGAGGGGACTTTGCAGGAATCTCAGAAGGCGCTCACGGTTTCCTCTGTTGGAGCCGTGGGCATTGTAGAGCTACTGCCTGGTGTGGATCGGGCTGGGAGGGTGGTCCTCGCTGATCCTAACTCGAACCTCATGTATGGCCGTACTCTGCTGCCCTCTTTGGGGGCTGATCTGCGCTCTGGATCTGAGCGTTGGTTCGTGACTGCTGTCTTTGCTTTGCCTGCTCATGGGGATGGGGATGGGGATGCATGGCGGCAGAAATGGGAACGGCTACCTGCCATTCCGGAGTGGTTGAAACGGGTTATAGAGAGCGGTGGTCAATGAAGTCAATGGTATCTAGATAGATATGTGGGACGAAATATACCTTCAGTTGATTCGTAATCTTTGAACTTGTCCGCTGCATCCTGATTCTTCTAGTTTTGTGTAGGCTGAATTACTAAGTGGCAGGTGACCGGAGATTAACTATTGTGGACTGTGGCTTGTAGGCACGGTACCCCAGCAGCCTTCTACAAACAAACCATACATGTTGTACATATAGGCCCGTAGGCACAGCTATAATAATATACATTGTCTTTTATAATACATCTATATAACAACCATCAGAGCATCAAGAGCTAGTGTCCCAGCCGAGCTTATTCCCGATAAACTTAGCAAGTTCCAACAAAGTCTTGTTCTCTACATCAGCACCAAGTCGATCCAGCAAAATCTCACGCCACTGAGCCGGAGTAATCTCGTGGAGCTTACGGCCGTTTAAAGCCTCGTGCACGCGTGCAGCCTGCTTGAAAGCTACAGATGCATCTCCAGAGGTCGAAATACGGCTCTCGATGATAGCACCGTGTTTCAGGCGGAGGAACACACGTGTCTGAACTAGTTAGCGAGCAAAATCTTGAATTCGTACCAGGGGGAGTTCATTTACCGCATGCGGCAACGTGGATGGTAGGAAAGGCCGTTCACGTGGATCGTCTTCAATGGGGTACGTGGAGAAGGTGAACTGTGGTGTTTGGGTATATTTCCACTCCAAGGACTATTTTAAACGATGTTGGTCAGCGCCAATGAGTTTGGGGAAGTAATAGGTAAACTTTGGTTTCTAACTCGTACCGTCAATTCATCAATACCCTTTTTAATCTCAGGCTCTCCGTAGCCCTGAGGCTCCCCTACTGCGCCCGCAACCCAGGTATCGCCCGCATACAACTCCGGTTCAAGGACATGGGCACGTTGCGCACGACGCACAGCATCGGCATCCACTTGATACATCTGGGCGAATTCCTCAATAATACTAGCCATGACGCGCTCGATAGAGAAAGGCATCATAGCATCCACAAAGACAGACGAGACATTGGCCACGGGAGACCGAACACTCTCCACACCCTTCGCTTTGATATAGTCCCGAGCTGGCGATCGCAGGAACGAGCCCAGCCGGTTGATATTCGGAGTGTCCAGTAGACATGTTCCATGGTGAAGTGCGCGGTGTCTGGTCAATTTGAAGGCCGAGCCGGAGATTTTTCGAGGCTGTGGCTGTCCAGTTGACATGACTATGTCGTGCCGATCGTTCACACTTGTGTTCGTAGCTCCAACGCGATGCAGTGCCCGCACGACCATCTCTGCGTGTTTGTTTCGGGTGAATGTTGTCCGGGGTGAGATCACGCTGTAGTTCAGGTTGCCTTCGTCGTGGTAGACAGCGCCTCCGCCGGACCTTCGGCGCACAAGGAGTGCGCCGTTGTCATTCTTCCCTTGGGTGTTTGATTCGCGGTCATTCTGAAGGGCGAGGAGGTTGGTCTCATGCCACGGGTTTTGGTTTCGTCCGATCACAACGCATGGCCGGTTTATGTAAAGGAAGAGGATGCTCGAGTCTGGTGGGGCATTTTCTAGCAGGAAATGTTCAATTGATAAGTTGACATATGGGTCCGTTGAGAGGGACTGATAGATCTGGTGCTGGGAGGATTCGCGGCTGGCGAGCTGGGCGAATTGATCGGAGGAGAAAGAGGAATTATATCGCACGAAGACAGGACGAAGCGCTGTAGTTGACCATGTTGGTATTCTGAGAGAGGATAGTAGGCATGAGCCTCGTTGGAGTGGGTGCATTGAGACGGAAGAGCATTAGGGACTAAAGATAGTAGCATACTGACTGTATGGAGTATGGAAATAAAGTCGTACCGACCCGTACGCCGTGTCTGCTCACCGCCCAATGAACTTTGGTTCCGAAGTGTTGGTGACTCAGGCCGATGGGCCTCCGATCTCCGGACGCTAAACCGGATCGAGAAAGCAAAAAGATGCCATATTTCTCACCTTATTTTCATCATGCAATGAATCATTGAGTGGGTTTCATATGATCTCTTGTTCGTTGAAGATCCTCGCGGGGTATCGTTAGGTTGACTTTCAATTAAGTCGTCCCTCTCAATTCTTTCGGCCATCACTTTTGCGCATCCTGTTCGGTGCTGTGCAAGAAAACACCCCTCATATCGAGCTACCCCGCCAACATTTCTTGAATTCCAGAAGAAAACCAAATAAATCGACTGTTCATCATGTCAACTTGGGGTGAATACTTCAAGGTCACCACGTGAGTTCACAGCAAAAAGCCTGCAGCCCTAGACAACTAAAAGCTCACATGTTGCGCCTCTTCCAGTTACGGTGAATCTCATTGCCGCTCCGTCGGCTGCATCGTTGATGGCTGCCCTCCAGGAATGGAGCTTACTGAGGCCGATGTCCAGCCTCAGATGACCCGGAGACGTCCCGGTCAGAGTGCTTTGACGACCCCTAGAAATGAGAAGGACCGCGTGGAAATCCAGTCGGGAACGGAATTCGGTGTCACCCTTGGTACCCCGATTGGCATGATGGTCCGCAACGAGGATCAGAGGCCCAAGGACTACGGTGGCAGCACAATGGACTTGTACCCTCGCCCCAGCCATGCCGATTTCACCTACCTCGAGAAATATGGCGTCAAGGCCAGCAGCGGCGGTGGCCGCAGCAGTGCTCGTGAGACAATCGGTGAGTCACCGTGCATGCACAGAGCGGGGCCGCACGCCTGGGGAAAGATAGACGAAAGCAATACTGACTAGATTAGGCCGTGTCGCCGCCGGAGCCATTGCTGAGAAGTACCTGCGCCTCTCTCACGGCGTTGAGATCGTCGCATTCGTCTCCTCTGTCGGCAATGAATACCTCTTCCCTCCCACCCCTGAGCACCCCTCTCCCGCCACCAACCCCGAATTCCTGAACCTCGTCGAGAACATCAGCCGCGAAACTGTCGACTCCTTCGTGCCAACCCGCTGTCCCAACCAAGACGCTGCAGCCCGCATGACCAAAGTCATCGAGCAATTCCGCGACAACCAAGACAGCATCGGCGGTACGGTAACGTGCGTGATCCGCAACGTGCCCGTAGGACTCGGCGAGCCCTGTTTCGACAAGCTCGAAGCCAAGCTTGCGCACGCCATGCTCAGCATCCCCGCAACAAAGGGCTTCGAAATCGGCTCGGGCTTCGGCGGCTGCGAAGTGCCAGGCTCCATCCACAACGATCCCTTCGTCGTCTCGGACGTGAAACCCGCACCGGCACCGAAACCACCACCAAGCAGCGTCTGACCACCAAGACCAACAACTCCGGCGGTATCCAGGGCGGCATCTCCAACGGTGCCTCCATCTACTTCCGCGTCGCCTTCAAGCCCCCGGCCACCATCGGCCAGGCCCAGACAACCGCCTCCTACGGTCTCGAAGAGGGCACCCTCGAGGCCAAGGGCCGTCACGACCCCTGCGTCGTGCCCCGTGCTGTTCCCATCGTCGAAACCATGTCCGCCCTCGTCATCATGGACGCCCTTATGGCCCAGTATGCTCGTGAGAGCGCGAAGAACTTGCTCCCGCCTCTGCCTAAGACCATCCCGACTCATCCCACGATCAAGCCCGACTCCGCATGATATCAGAACAAAGCAAAGCTCGACAGCCGAGTGTACCGAATTGCATGATGTGATGTGAATGAAGGATGTGATATGGAGGCCAGGGATTGAATGCCAGAAAGTAATTGTATATAGATATAAATGGGAAGTGTTTTAACCGCCGTCAAAAGTTCTCTTATTTATTGTCCTTCAGACTTTATCTCTTTCAACAAGACAAATGATCTGTGGTTCTAGTTAAGCTTAAATTCCTTGAATTAAGGATTCATCTTGATTTCTTATAACCTAAACTCAACTAGCTTAGATATAGGAAAGAAAAGGGTATTGTACATCGTGAAGATTCAAGAACGTAAAATAATAAAGTAAGAACAGGCCTCTTAAAAGGAATTTTAGTATTATAGAGTAATATTATGAAGAATTATTAATTTCCTTTATATAGTAAAACAGTCTCCATCAAAAGGTAACATATTTTGAAGTTGGGCTGGCGGTTTCTCAAGCCTGTCGGCCGAGTTAGGGTTTCGGCTCCTCACGGGCACGGATAAGATAGACAAACAGACAAACGGATAATCTGTCGCTCCGCTATCTAGTACTCCGTAGTATGGATACCATCTGGCAGACACACTCGAGTTGCCCCACTTGGTCACCACGTCAAAAGTCTGACAAGCGATCATCATCGACCGACGGAGGCTTCAACGGGCACATCTCGTGTGCTTGCCCGTTGAACTCCTGCATACCTGACCGCTATTCGTCATAGTAGATCTTTAGATCTACTTCGATCTCAAATAGAGACGCTACTAAAGAATTAGCTGGGTGCGCATGTCTCACTTTACACAGTAGTACTATCTTCGATCCACTGGCTGCTGCAGGCCAGATCGCCATCCTTCCATAAATTTTTATCGATAAGATAATCGGATGACCTTTCAAAAACGTCTCGTGCCCAAAAGACTTACGCAACCCATTTCTCTTGGAATTGGTTGTCCATAAGGGATCTAGAACGGTGAATGGACAGGTTTGTTGTTGGCTTATTATATTGAAATGGAGCGATAAATGGGCCACGGCGCAGTTGCCAGTGCAACGACCCGTGTTTACGTGCGCTTTTACTACCCCTCAGCGAATCACTTCAACAACGTTGCACCAGGAGCCTTGGAGGACGATCTGAACATGACGTCGCAGTCAATATAATGACTCTTGTGGAGGGGTTTTACTTGGTACTATGTACTCCGTAGATTCGGCCCCGATCGGGTGGCTGGGGATGTCACTGTTTACCATGCTATTCGCACGGATCCCACTCATCTTCAGTGCTTTCTTTGACTTCACGTCGGAATTCTTCCTCTTGAATATAGAATTTGTCCTCTTCACAGACTTCATCCTGGATTATAGAGTCTTACCTTGCCCTCCATGTCGGCTCACTAAACTTCCAAACGCACCGGCTGCGAGTCAATCTAGTCTTCCTGGACGCACTATGGTTGGTCTCAGAGTGCACTTGAAGAAGAAGCAAGCCAAATTATGCAAGAGAAGACTCCTCAGCAAAAGTCAGCGATCTTGCTGCTCTAAACTGTCTAATACATCTTACTGTTACTCTCCAAAATGAATACTTTTATCACGCTTCTGGTGGTCCTGTTCCTGGGCTGCCGAGTGTCTGCAATTCCATACACCCCGTCCCATCTTCTGTACTCAGCGCAGTACAACGGATCCATTGCATATCTATTACGGCCCAGCGATAGCAATACAACTGAATTCCTCTCATTGAACATCTCCAAAGACATTGACAGCGCCAACCCCCAATATACGAGCTTACTGGACGATGCTCCATTTCAGCTTTACAAGCAAAACCTCGCTCTCGTTCCGGCTATCGACCAACACGGCATCTTAAAAGTCTATGCGGGAGATTGTCATAATACTTCAGGGTATGGCGCGTTATGGCAGTTCACCCCGGATGCAGCGAGTTCCACCGGCAATGGGACATGGGAGAGAATCGAGGTAAATGGGACCGGCCAGTCAAACGTCAACCCTCATGGACCAAATTATCTCGCTGCCGGTTTTACATACGCCTCCACCAATACAACTAACAGTTCTTTCTATGTCTTTGGTGGAATGTGCCCACTTGCAAGCGCCTCCGAGGCCACCTGGATTACTGCTGCCAACTACTCACAGTCCATGATAGCCCTGGAACCCCCCAAAACCGATAGTCTGACTTCCTACCGGATCTCAGCAACCGGTGATCGCGCACCTCCAATTCCTGAAGCTGGGTTTACGATTACCCCGTTACAGGCAACATATAGGTCTACGTCGAGTGGCACATTGTTACAACAACAAGATTTTCTGATGATCGGAGGCCAGACTCAAAACGCATTCATCAATATGTCACAGGTTGCTGTCTTTTCACTTCCGCAGAGCAGCTGGAGCTTTGTCACGATTGATTCTACACTGAGCCTGAGCCGAACGGAGCTTGCCATTAGGGACCCCTCGGTAGTGGAACCAAGGTCCGGCCATACAGCTGTTCTCTCCCCAGATGGAAGCAAGGTGGTCGTCTTTGGAGGTTGGGTTGGTAGCACCAGCGTTCCTGCCAACCCGCAGTTAGCTATCCTCGAACTGGCAGCTGACTCTATAGGCTCCACCGAGTGGGCCTGGAAAATACCGCCGACCGGAGATGCTGGGATAGCGGAAGGAACTGGGATCTATGGACACGGCGCAACCATGCTTCCGGGCGGAGTGATGATGATCACAGGTGGCTACCACATATCACAGTCAAGTAAACGATCTATAACTGCCACGGAGGTTAACTCGAAAACCTTGATGTACAACGTTACTTCGGGTAAATGGGTTTCCTCCTACTCAAATCCAGGGCCTTCACCAGATGGTGGGTCCGGATCGTCTGTATCCCGCAGAGCTGGGCTTGGTGTCGGACTCGGCTTAGGTATTCCCTTTGTCGCTGGGGCGGCTGCTGTCTTTCTCTGGTTCTACTTCCGGCGACGGCGAGTACGTCGAACTCGAAACCAGATGCTCCGCGAACTATCCTTGGGCACAGAACGATCTATTTTCTGGAGTCCAGAAGAGTCCCATCTGACTTGCGGTACTCATAGGCCTTCCGAGATTATGGCTGAAAGAACAGGCCTTCTAAGAGAAACATCTTGTTCCATTGAAAACAAGCGGTTGTCTTTAAATGCAAGAATGTACCAGCCTCCGTCGCAATGTAACAATGAGTATATGCGAGGTGACGGGACCGGCGATATGCATCCGATTGATGAAGAAGACGAGGCACATGGTGCGGCAGGTGGAGATAGCACTATTTGCAAGGCCGCTCATCACAGAAGCACCGTTTTACTGCCCAAGACGACTCCTACAGAGCCTTCCCCTGAGGGAGTTACGGCATTTGCAACGAGTGTCGGTCGAGCTAACGAGAGACAACCTTCGGAGCACGACGACAGAACATCTTCAAACCTTTCGGGCTCGTCGAAGTCGGCCGCTCAGCAGTCTCACGGTATTATGGACAATCATCCGAGCCAGCCAAGCAGTGGGCGTGAATCCCCAGAAAAGTCGAGTTCTGCATCTAATCGGAGTCGTGACACTTGGAGCCGACCCAACAGTACTGTGATTTCCCATGAACGCCGGTCTTCTGATTCATTTTCAACTGCCCATACGACGATTTCACAACGACAAGCAGAAGGCGAACATCTACTACGAAACGACCCTGAACCCTCCTCCCCAATTGACCTCATACCAAGACCCCTCTCTATCTCAAAACCGAGGGCTGAGTGGATCGGCAACGTCCGGCGAGTGCTCTCTATGACTCGAAAGCGGCCCCAGTCATCTGAAGACGGCAGTGTTGCATCTACAGCTTCGGGTATCGACAGGAGAAGTGCCGTGCTTGGACCAGCAGGGTCTTTGCTCGATTATAAAACCGAGTCCAAGCTGCCTCGGCGATCCGTCAGTGCCTCGGCGGAACTATTCCGACGCAAACAAGGTGCCAAAGACTGGGGAGCAGGCAATATTGTTTCACGTGAGTTGACGGGGAGGATGACACGCGATGACTTCGGGTTGGATGGTGTGTTAGATCTCGATGATGATGACTGGGATGTGGAGGGCGCAGCAGAGAATCGACGCGTCCAGGTCACCTTTACTGTGCCGAAGGAGAAGCTGCGAGTTGTCAATGCTACGGCCAATGATATGGATAACATCAGCGAGGCATCCATCAGTCGAAGCGACAGCCGGACATGACCTTGATGTTAGTCTGATATGACACACATACACCAGGAACGTGTCTATCGCCGACTATGCCAATGGTAGAAGGCCACTGTCTTTGAAGGTTGGGTTGGTTGGAGTACCAGCGTTTCTGCCAATCCACAGTTAGCTAGGTACCCTCTAACTAGCAGCAGACTCTCCAGGGTCCGCCGAGGCAGGTGCTGTCATTATATGAAAGGAAACAGAAGGAGCGATGGGCTATAGGGTCGTTGCCAGTACGTGCGCTTTTACTACACCTCCGCGGATAACTTCTTCAACGTCGTCCCAGTAGCCCTAACAGTAGGGTGTATCTGGACTTGACGTCGAGGTTGATATAATGGCTTTGGTAATCCGGCCGAGAGTCGGCGCCGGTTGGTTGGGGGTTAGGCAGTAAGGCATTGAGGATATTGTCATTAATGATGCTATAGTGACTGCGACCATGATGCTATCATGACCGACACCAGTCACCTTGGGTTTTTTTCACTCCCTTCTGAACTCTTCCCTGTACCAAGAACACTTCACTGTCTACAAGCACACTTCATCATCTACAAGCACGCTTCATCGTCTACAAGCACACTTCATTGTCTACAAACATACTTCATTGTCTACAAACATCCCGTGTCTTCAGATTTCTGTTAGGCTTTAAACCCAGCATCAACAACTAAGACTTCTAAAACTCAAACCTTTATCTTCTTATAAACAATGTTCCTCACAAGAATCACCACCTGGCTGCACTCCAAGATGGAGGAGCGGAAGACGAAAAAAGCCAGAAACGAATGGCTCCGAGAAGCGTCTCTCGTGACAAGACGTCGATCTTTTTGGCATCCCAAAGATGCCGTACAGCAAAGCTGTGTGGACTCCCCCACACGAGAAGATTGGCCCACGCGGGCGAGAAAATGGTAAGATAAATCCTAAGATCATAGAATAAAAAAACAGGTATCCTAACAGCAATCTTAGTATAATAAAGGAGGGCCGTCTCCTCCTATGTGAGTGCCGGCGGCCCGGCGCTCATGACGCTGAAATAAAGCGTCATGAGCACCGGGCCGCTGGCATGCCCATCATTTACGAGTGATGGGGTTTGGGTTGGGACTAGGGGCTGTGGGCATGTTACAGCCCTGATCACACTCCGCTGTCATTAGGCGTGGCTGTCATTAGGCCCAGTGATCGGGTTGGTAACATGCTCACAGTGGGACGCAGCTGGTTCGTTTTGGGGCTTTGGGGGAAGGAGGATGAGTTGGGTTGGGACTGGCTGGGTGTCTGTCGGTCCCGATCACATATTACGCTGTCATTAGGCGTGGCCGTCATTAGGCCCAGTGATCGGGGCCAGCAGCAGTCGCCCAGGGACTGGAGCCGGTTCGTTTCGAGGGTTTATTGAGGGATGGATTGGATTGGGGCTGGGCGACTGACTGTGTGCATGCCACCGGTCCTGATTTCACTACCGCCGTCATTAGGCGTTGCTGTCATCAGGCACTGTGATAGGGCCGGCGACATGGCTACAGTCGTCTAGCTCCAGGGGATCGAGTTGGTTCTTTCGAGGGTTTTCTTTTCGGAGGGTTTGACGACTTTGGACTTTTTTATGGAGGATTTTGAATTGTCTTTTGGAAGCTTTTTGGAGGTTTTATTGGAGTTTTTGATGACTTTTCTTTGGAGCTTTTTGGGCTTTTTTGGAGGATTTTAGATTGCCTTCTTGGGAGTTTCTTTTGGAGTTTTTGAGCTTTTTTGGATGGCTTTGGATTGTCTTTTTGGGGGTTCTTTGGAGATTTCTTTTTGGAGTTTTGGGACTTGCTTAGACTGTCTTAGACTGTCTTAGACTTTTTAGACTTGTTAGACTTAGACTCGTTAGACTTGTTAGACTTATGGGCTTAGATGCCCATAGAACTATTACTATGTATGTAGTACGAATGCGAACTCAAGTGGCCAAGATGGCAATTCATTCCTGATAGACAACTTTCTCCTTTCTAGCCAGTGATAAGAGATCACCTTTCCCTCCCGTTCAACCTCCTGCGTATAGTTCTACGCCACATCCGCTCAGTTGCTGTATTGTGCAAAGCCTCGTGGACCCTATGCGGGCCCCACCGACACCCTTCTTGTACCAGGATCAAGATGATTAGTAGATGGCAGACATCAAGTCTGTTCCCATTGGCCAGTGACTCAGAGCTGGCTTGGCTAGGCAAAGCATTAACATGAATGGGCCCATTACTGTTCAGAGCAAGCGAACATCGCAGCTGAGGTCAGTGCGCTTTTCCTGTCGCTATCCGAAAAGGGTTCTGGGCGACTTGCTGAGTCCGATCCCCTTCCCCCCCCCCCCAAAGAGTATAGTACTAGTAAGTAAGACCTTGCATTTCGTCATCTCTTGATCCGGGGTCGCAAAACATGTAGAACTCGCTTGGGACTGCCGTCAGGGTACGACTCCACAATCGGAGATGAGATGGGGTTGCACATGGTTCCCCGGTGAGTCCCCTAAGCCTTACCTCTTGTTTTATGGGGTGGACACCTATACTAGTCTGCTTTAATTGTCGCAGTCAATTAACACCGCGACTCATGCGACGGGAGAGAATTTCAAGCGCAACGAGGACACAGCGCTTCTGGTTGAAAACGGAAGGGTATATTGGCTATGCGAAGGTGGCTGGATGGGGCTAGTGAATCGCAACAGTCAGTTGAAGTCAAGATGGATAGGTACCCTGGCTCTGTTACCAAGGGGATGCGAAAACGACGGGTGTCTACCTATCGGCGTTGGGAGCCATTAACAAATACGGGGATATATTAGGGCATACTAAAGGCGTTAGGGGGGGGATCCGTGGTCGCCGAGAAAGTAGCGTATCCATCAGACTTTGACATCGGTGGAGGACTGTGCATGTCATCTTGATCATCTTCTCAAGAACGCATGGACCAAAATGAAAGCCACAATCGTCCGGCTGTCGGCTCAGGGTTGCGCCTCGGTGGGCCTATCAGATCCCCTGGAGAGCAGGGCGAGGGAACAGATACTACGGGGGAGGGGCGAGACTCGTATCCAGTGTGTCTGTGATTGGGCTTACTGGACGGAACTGGAGTGCAACCGGTTCGATAGAATGCAGGGGTAAACATGATATGACTCGCCAAGGTGTGGAGCATTGATTGAGAAGCGCTGATATAATTAAACATTAACATTTGATGGGAGACAATTGTGCAACCTCTGGGCAGACCAGGAGAGGAACAGCTTGGGTGCGCAACGGCCAAGGATCGAATGAGAAGGAAGGGGATGGGGACAATGACGATGACGGGATCGGACAAATTGCCGTGTATTGAGATTTCACGAGGTCTCATTCATTTGCGTTTCTTTGGTGCAAAGCAGACTGACGCTATAAAGCTTGGTCGGAGGGCGCACCGCCAATCATATCCCTCTCTCTTTCACTCGGTTGCAATGCAAGTGGCTCAATCCGGTAGTGATACTGTAAGGCCTATTGCAATCAATGTCAGCCCAGCCGGACTCAGTCTCCGTTTCCAACTGTCAAAAGGTTGAAGGTGGATGAAACCCGTAACCTGGACAATTCGTGGGCCGCGCAGTTGCCCTGTGCGCGCCCACTCACCCACGCTTTCCAATCATGACTCTGGCGATTGGATAGCTTGGGCTCGAGGCACGGATTGTCCCGCTGCCGGCGTAAGTTCTACGAGCTATACTTAACTTCCTCCCTAGTTCGTTAGGGTACCTAGGGTCAGCTAAAAGGTGGAGTAAGGAAAACTGTCCTGACACGGGTTCCGGGTAAACGGGACATCTCCCTTGACTTGATGCGACCGACTCCTCTTCAGAGAAAATTGAAGGTCTTTCTAACCGGTCCAACAGTATAGTCCGGTATGATATGATACAGGACTGATCAAAGTCCAAGGACAATCACATTGTTCGTCCGGTTGAGGCCTGAGAGAAGTTGGACGCCATCGCCAACCGGGCCTCTATGACGTCAGGATAGGGGATGACGGGCGAGGAGTAACGCAACCCTGGAACCTCGCTATTACGATTATGAATCTTGACGTGCATAAGAGACCTTTGGGAGCCAGAGGTGTCCTTCCATGTCAGGAAGGTCTCCCCATGCCCATTAAACATCTTTCCGTCGCGGATCCATGTTCTTCTCATACTCTCTTTTCACTCCCGCCCGGCTGGCTTTCCCTTCCCATCAGACTGAGTTAGGGTTTCACGAATGGAAAAGAGGAAATAGGATTAATCAACTTCTCCAACTATCCTTCATGGACTGAACAACCCACACCCCTCCTCTCAACTGCCGAGAAGAGAAATGAATAAGGCCCCTCCTTGTAAGCATTGGTCGTGGCTGGAGAGGGAGAGGGGCAAGTTCGATCTAATTTAGTTGCGCCGCGGGGGGATCAGACTGCGACACTGGACATTATGTAGATCATGGATAGCTAGCTTCTTGTCATTTCATTGTAAGTTTCGAGCAATTTCCAATGGTCTGGAGAAGGAGGAAACTTAGTCGGACCAAACTCATCTAAACCTACTCAACTCTAGTCCGACATTACCATATTCGGTTTGTGGTAGATGCACTAAATTCCCCGCGCCGCAGGTATGGAAGTAGCCTGGGACCTTGGAAACGCAGTGCAGCCACAGCACCGTATACGATGTGCGGACCCAGGGTTGACGGATACGTTGTCTGAAGGTATGTAGTATCGACTCTGATATCAGCGAAGTGTCGAAAAACCTCTCTCTTGTCATGGCGTACGTTTCATGCTCGTGTGGTAATTAACCTATTCAGGTATTGTCAGAGAATTAAATAAACACAGACCTCTCGGTCCAAGCTCACCGCGCGAAGCTAAAGTGTTCGCCGCTCCTCCATTGGTCAGCCTTTAGCCGGCAAGCTAAATTATTTTACAGGTCTTGGATGATGTATGAATATTCGAGTCGATCTACATCAACTACTCTGTCGATACCGTTGGATCCTTCTGGGTAGTTGATGGAATGGCTTTCATGCGACATTGGAAGATGCTAGAAAAGACCTCGACAGTATAGACGTTGGCTAGAATGGCCCAGACTGATGGGGCGGGACACTGAAGCGGGAAAAAGAGTTGATCATAGCCATGGGGACCCACGGAACACCCAAGATCAACGATCGAAAAGCGACTGTTAGGCGTTGATTGACAGCTGCCACCAACAAAGTAGCTTTTTTCCCCCTTCAACAGCGCTGGCTCTTTTTCTTCTCCCTTCGCCTTTCTACCTATTTCCAAAGTCAATGTAAAAGCCAACTTACTATATACAGGTAGATGGACTGATGAGAGAGGCAAAGAAATCGATAATAGGGAAACGAGGACAAGACAGTAATTAATGTCGTACTCGTGATGAAAGAGAGTCCCTGGTACCGAGATACGACGTGCTTATCGTCGTAGATAGGTAGATGATGTAGCAGATGGGAGCCATGAATCGTTGACGATGTACGGAAAAAGGTGCCATACGTAATAACGCTGGGTTTCGAATGAGTGCTTGGCATGGTGAGAATCCGCCACTGGAAAAATTCGCATTCTATTTTTTCCTTTTCAAATCTTTTTTTCCATTTCTTTCTTTTTCTTTTTCTTTTTCTTTTCTTTTCTTTTTTTTTATGAAA